TGGTGCATTGGTGCATAAAATCTAAAAAAAAAATCACACAAAAAAAGCGGCATTTATTTGAATCATCATGATCATCATCACACACAGCAACTACATTATAAGCAATTACTCATACAGACTTCCTGTGTACCTGAGACATACTGACCGCTCCTTGCATCTGATTGGCGTTACCATGGAGAGCGTTGCTATGTGACGCGAGTTGACATCCCGGAAGACGCTGGCCTTGGTAGCGAGGAAGGAAGAGAGACATGGACGATAACTTTCAGCTCAGAGATGCAGCCGCGGTAAAAAATGTGAGTGACCGGTTTGGATCTCAGAGGATGCAGTAAGGGGATAGGGAGCAGAGGTGATACTAATGCTGTGAGTGGAGGAGGGAAGGGCGCAGCGAGGCTACTGCTAGCTACTTAGCTGTTAGGCTAATGTAAACACCAGGCGTTAGCTAGTCGTGGTATGAGATAGCTATTTACTTGTTACCAGCAAAGAGATATCATCGTTTACCGCTTTTGGGCAACGGCAGCAAGAAGGGTTTGTGTCTGAGTATGTAGCTAACGTTAACTAACCGAAAGGTCCATGCATAGCTCTGCGTTTAGAGGAGTGTTTTGTTAACCACAGCAGGGTTTGCTTTCCCTTCTCCGACCTGGCTGGACGTCTGTGAGTCAGTTCACTTGCTAAACTCGCAACCTTTCTCCATTAAAAGCTATTTTCTTACGTTTGACCTCGTCCTCTGGACTGACTCAGTGCTGGAAACACTTCTTGCAGCTGGTTAGGATGTTTAACGGGCAGACTTTTATACATCTACATGTAACAACAACCTCTGTAATTGAAAATGGCATTATTTAGGGAGAGGTCTAGATTAGCATGTCCACTGACCCTTTTAAGGATTAATGTGATTCTTCCATCTTGTCCTGCCTTCAGTTCAACTTACCAACTCTTTTTCTTTGTCCTTGACCAACATAAAATGTCCTATTGATGACACATTAGCATCACTATAAGTACATTAGTGAGGTATGAGTAACTTAGACCTTACACGGTACAAACATTTGACTTTACAGCCCTTGAAAAACCAGTGTACACCAATTACAGGGGTGTTATCTAAAGATATCTGTAATATCTTCTTATGACTATGCATTACATTTCAGAAAGATCATCTTACCAGTATATTTTGTTTGTTCAAAGCACATTAAACAAACGCAACATCTTATTTTGACGGTGGAATGATGGTTGAGTAGATTTGCTGCTCCATTCTCAAAATTGTACACTCTGCTGTATTAAAAGTCCCTCCAGACGACTTTGGGTTGGCTTATTAGATGGCACAGTTTAAGCAAAGCGAAAAGCACAAAGTCTTTGGTAGACGTTGGCAGTCAGCTTTGTGATATCAAAATCTATCTTCTAATTTTTTATTTTTTTTAAATATGTGCATTCCCCAGGTTGCAAAGTCTGGACGAAGAGCTCGCCTCGCAGCAGACCAGTCATCGTTTGAAGATTCTCGTTACATAAGGAAGTCCTCCACCTCCGCTTCAATGGGAGAAGTATGTGATCATTTGATAATAGTGTTGGTGGCATGTTATGATTTCACCTCAACAAGCTTCATCAATATGCATTTTTGGTTTTGTCTCATACATGAATCGCAGGATGATGACGAGGTAGGTTGCATGAAAAAAACGGTGACTTTGCATGGCTTCTTTCTGCTAAACCTCCAGACATCAACTTTATACCATTTACAGTACCTCTTTCAAACACGCACACACACATTGACACACATGGTATAAAGTTTTAGTGGAGATGTGTTTAGGTGTTTAAAAACTGTAGCTGCTCTTCATTTACTGTCCCGTGTGTAATGCATCTGATGTGCTTGCGTTAAGTGTTTTGAAGTGTGTCTTCATGCAAGCTCTAAAGCCCTTTAAAACTTTAGAGTCACAGCACATTGTAATTGTCTTGTAAATTGTCTAATTGAAAAACAAGCAGATTACATCACTGAAGTCCCAGTAACTCCACCAACAATCTGTATAAATCTTCTCCTTATATTGCCAAGTGTGAATCCCTTTAAGTCTGAGCTGAAACGTTGACATAAAGCTTTCTCAGTGATCTCTGCCTCATAAAACATGCTGGAGTTAATGTTGCTAAATTTAGACTCAATATAGGACAAAAATATATGAGAGAAGTCAAATCAGAAGTGACAGTTGCAAAATAACAAATAATTTGACGTCACTGTCGTTGGCATTTATGGAATCAGTCACGTCTCCTGGATTGGCAAACTGTAAACCGGCCAACATTCCCAAAGCAAAGAATTCCAGCAATGCTTTTGCTTTAGGCCAATCTTCCCAAATTAGGCCAACTTCCCTAATGTATGAACCAGTATTCTCGCGCCCTCTCTGACCTGCTGTGAACATGCAATACATTTTTCCAGAGTGTCGTGCGACTGGGTGGGTTTATTTGCAGTCTTCGTTTATCAACCCTGGCCTCTTCTGCCGAAAATACCCAACTGATTGGTCACATTCCTGACATCCTTTTAAACAAAGACTCATTTGCTTTTATGGGCTCATAGGGTTTGGTCACCATAAGTTCCATGCCCTAGAGACCATCAGAGAATCCTAAATTAGAAACCATGAGGTCTAAGCTAATTGCCTTAACAGCCATAACTATTTTACTACAACTGTGAGGTTCATATTTGGTCATGAAGAATTGGAAGCACAGATTTGTTTTGTTTCTCAGGACACTTATGGTCCTCTCCATTTTTGTCGAGTGAAATAACTGTCAGAGGATGAATTTATTACAACCAAAAACACTTGACTGTATTATCTTGTCTCTCATGAAAAATGTTAATTGTCAGAAATACCAAACATTACACATCAGAGGAGTTTTACTTGATCACTTCTTTTGTAATGTTGCCAGAAAACGTCTCAATTGTCATTTTTGTAGCCCCCTTTTGTTCTTAATAAAGAGACAGTTACTAATTACACAAAGTTGAGGGAGCTTGTTCAACCTCAGCTCTCTCGATTAATGGTAATATACAGCGGAGCAGAGTGGCTCCCCCTCCCTCTGCCCTGCTTAATGGTGACATTCAGATTTATAAATGGCTTTGGTGAAGGAACCAGCCATGAAAGATTATTTCCTCTTTCATCATAAACGAAAGAAATTCTTCACGAGCACTTTGTCCTCTGCAGACCCAATTTAGTAATGAGAAATGTTGTGCCTTTTTTTCCCTAATTCATTTGTCTAGTGCCCACCCTCGTGTGCTCTTAGGAATTCATTCATTCAAGTGCTGGTCTCAGGGTCCCGGTCTCAGGATCGAGATGCATACTCGGTTTACTATTTTCAGAATCAAAGAATGAGAGGGAGAGGGTCATTTTTTTCCTGTGGACCTATTTTCGGGTTAGACTTACAGGCCCTGGCAGTTCCCACACTCTGCTCCATATGTTCTGCTGCTGGAAATGGACATAAAAAAAATCTAATAAACAAAACAATGGGGTGCATATATGTGACTCTGTCCTGCAAATACCAGGCATATTGTTTACTGTACAGGATTAGAGGTGAACTTTGGTTTGAATGGTCCCCACACATTTACCGGGACAATTAAAGTTCCTTTATTTGTTCCTTTTACATTTATGTCAAGTTTACAGGTTTTCTTTTTCTGGTGGGGGTCTTTATTTTCAGTTGTTGCAGAAGGGGGCCACCTACTGGCATATTTCCGCTTTTAAAAGTCACAGATTTTGTACCGTTGGTGTACGTAGTACAGTATAGGCTATTCACCACAGTATCAAATAGGTGATGATGTAACACATAAGCCCTGCAATTATGACAAAACTTCAAGCAGACATGATATTTTTGTGCTTTATGTTCCCAGATTAAAGCCTAATAACAGCTGGAATTGTGAGTAAACATTCTTTGAAGTTTTTTGCTAATAAAGTTCCTCTTCTCCCAGGGCCCTCCTCCTAAACCGGCCCGGCGGCAGGGCGGCTGGGCAGAAGAAAGCACCGGGTCCGGTTCTGCCAAGTACGTAGCTTCACCTTTTCCCCCCTTCTCCTGTGGCTAGACTGAAGGCGGCGACTGCAAGCTGTGGTCTTGGGTTATGTGTTATTAATGAACTCTCATGCTGTTGAATGAGCTTATTTATCAGTGCATATTTGGCACTCAGGCTGTGAATCAACAAGGTTAGAGGGAGCCTGTCTGAGCAGGCAACTCTCCATTCGTCTTCATCTGTGAGCAAGGCGGTAATTGACATGGTTAATGCATCAGCCACAGGAGGGCACTGTTAGTCAGCTAGCCACTTCATCACAGGGGTTCAAGCCACTTAATCACCCCTTACCACTGCAGTCTGCTCTTTACACGGGGAGCACAACATGGAGAATTCATGAAATATTTGGAACAGATGGAAGGTGTTTGCAAAAAGCTTTCCTCTACAACTAACAAATCTAAATCTAAATACTGTACAAGACTGAATCAGCATGAGATATTTTATTGTACTGTGGAACTACCTCTCTTATTTTCTCTTCCACCTGTCACTGTGCTTCTTTTTTTTCCAGTCTCAGTGGAGGTGAGAGCATAGGAGATGCATTGAAGTGAACCGGCTGAGTCAATTGTGCTTATTTGTGTAGTTTACTGCACCGTTAGTGCAAGCAGGGAAAACAGCAAACTCAATAGATCTTTCCTTTCTCACAGAAGGTCAGCGTGTCGCTTCTCTGCTTTTGCGTAACCCAGCTTGATTCCCAGTCTCAAAGCGATTGAAATACAGGAGGTGTAAAAGGGGTTTGCACGCGCATTGATCCTCTCTGAAACAAAGTAAGTAATGGTCCCCCCTGGAACCGGCAAGGACTTTTCCCTTCAATGTCACCCCTCATGCTCAATCACCGCCGCCCTCCTCCCACTAATCCCAGCGCAGAAATCCCGGGATTTGTCGATCTATCACTTCTAATTGACACTAAATGATCTGTCAGTTTATTGATGAACCTTTGAAACCAGGTTGTCACAATATATTTTATCCCTAACAACTTTTTCCAGACAGTTTTACCATGTCTATCGCTTTGCCTTACATGAGTCTTAATCAAGGGGCCTGTAATGTGTCTTAAGTGTCGCCACCCCCGCCCCCCAGACAGGACACAGTCCAAGGGCAGGCAGGTAGGCTCCCTCAGCTCCTCTCTACACTGCCTGGTTGGACTCTAGTACCTTCAAGGGCTGTTGGTCTACATTGATAAGACAGACATAACTGGATTTAACACTTTTAGCTAAGAACTGGTTAGCTAATTGTGTTTTATGTCATTCTTTGATGTTGTATGGCAGGTCATGTGTGATGTAAAAGTAGATCAACAAAAGTACTACTCCAAAGTAGATTTTTGCGTCTCTGGATTTTTGTGCAAGCTTTATTTTTTTTGAGCTGAAGAGTTGAGTTTGTTTGCCTGAACTGAGCTGCTCTGATTGTCAAGTTAATTTTATCTTTATTGCCCAAATTCCCAAATCAAATTTGCCTTGAGGGCTTCACAGTCTGTACAGCAAACTGTTCAGAAAATTACCCCCAGAACCAGAAAAAAAGAAGTAACCTCAGTTAAAACGTGGGATCCCTCTTAAAAAATAGGGTTTGGAGTTAGTGTACAGGTGCTACTTCAGATACAGAAGCTTAAATTTATTTCATGTTTGTTCACAGGGGGTTTGCCTTTCTCTTGATGTCTCTACTGCTTCATTGCTTGAGCCCATAAAAACCCATTAGTCTACAGTGATTTGAAACACTGGTACTCTTGTATTATATTGCACATATTTTATTATTTGTTTTTTGATAAATTAGTGAATTGATCTAATATCAACTGATACTGCAGATCTGCAACCTTGATTTTTGCCAGTATGAAGGTATGAAAATGACAGCAAGAAAAATACTGTTGCAAAACTGGAAGTATTACTTGTAAAACCAGTAGGGGGCACTACTCAACCAGGGGAACTAGCAAAACCATGTATGCGTCATGAAAAAAGATTAAAACCCCCATTTTAGGCCACTAATTAAAACATCCTAAAACATAGTCTGCTCTGTTTCCTTTCTTATATTTTATTGATACTGTTATATTCTTAGATCACACTAATGTGGTAATATTAGTTTTTCTTTGGTGTCTGGTGTTATTGCATCCTTTCCTAAAACAGAAAGTGAATGCTAAAAATACTGTGTTGAGGCAAAAAAGTGTCAAAACCCAGTATTTTGGTGTTTGGCATGCTCTGTTCAAGCTGAGCTGTGTAAATGGAGAGAAGTCTGAAAATAGCTGCCCGATCCAGCAGGAGACGAGGCTGAGAAAACAGAGAAGAGAGGAGACACAACTCTTGTAGACCACTGTGTCTGATATAGTAGAATTGCTATCATTAGATACAGATTTACAGGATGCATCCATCAAAACACCTCTAAGGACTGTGCCAGGAATATAAAATATTAAGTGAGTTTTGTGCTCACCTTTATTTTGAAGGAAGGAAAAATGTAGCCCATCAAGTGTTGTTTAATTTGTCTAGCATTTGTTTTCTGCTTCTGTACAGATCTTCAAGAAGACCTCCAGCCGAAGACCTGGAAGAGTAAGTTCTCTCAGCCACCACCTCCATATTTCAATATACTCTCGCAGTTGTTGATTGAATTCAATGCCAGTTACATTTCCGTGTGTATGAATAAAAATAGGTCAGTGTAAATATTTGTTCCCTTTGCAGTAAAGTGGAAATAACGCAGTACATTCAGATTGTCCTTGGTTGCAGCTAATCCTTGCCTTCCAAGAACAATCACTTAACATGATTAAAAAACAGCGTGACTGAGTTGTCATCACTTTTATTGCCGTTAGGAGCCAAGTTTTCCTGTTATTCTAGTTTTTTCCCCTCACCCTCCCTCCCATCATTCTGTGACTAGAATAGACATCATGAGGGGAGGCAGGTAGAGAATGCAGTCATCTATGTTTTACTCATCATCGCAGTTGGAGCCCGGTGCCTCACTGGCTGCAGTGAGACAGAGGCTTTGTGTGTAAAGTTGTTAGCCTGCAGAAAAATCCCCTACGTTGTGCTCTTGTCACAACTGTCCTGTCTTAGTAATACTTAGTAATACAGACCGCTGCTACAGCTGTGTTTGTTTTTTAAATATCTCCTACGGGTGATCTTGTCTAAGGCTGTCAGGCTGATCACCCAGACAGCACAACAGCGTCACATAGCACCGTCAGTGCCTTTTGGCAGGAGCTACTGTTCAGAAGTCCAGTCAGACTGTAGCAGACTGAGCGAGGGTCCTAACCACCACAAGAGAAAGACGATAAAAAACAGGCCCATCATCAAAGCAAAGTAGCCCAGGAGCCGACTCACTCACTCCCTATGATGACCTCACCGTTGGGCTGCATTTTGAAAGCATTAAATAATTCATACTCTCACACTTCCTGTTTCTACAGCCGCCGCCTGCGACCACAAACTCCCCAGGGATCAGATGATGAAGGAGGTAAGAGCACCCTCACTATCCCCCCACTCTGTGTCTTTCCTCACGGGCAAAGAGGAGCCCTCCAGTGCCTCCCCAGCACATTCATCCTCTGGAAGTAGAGCAGATAAGCAGACAGTCAGATCATCGCTTTCCACTGATGCGCACATCATATTTCTCCTTGAATCCAGCATGGATTCGTGTGTTAGAACTCTGCCTTTGACCGGTGTCCCTCCTTTTGACCATAAGCATGGCCTCTTTGGATGAACTGAAGTGAATGTGCTCATTAAATAAGGTTTGATCTACAGTTGATGGAGAATTTTGTTGCAGGATTTAAGTGTTCCCCCCATCACTCACAGCAATACAGTTAGTCACAAACACACAGAAGTATTTGATGAATTACAAAAATGAAAAAAATAGCTTCTTTCTCGTGTGTTATACAAATACAGCTTTTTATCATTTTCTCATGAGAGCTGTGATGATAAAGATTTGTTTCAATATTATTATATGGAGATATAATAAACAATAATATTTAATTACCACCCAGCCCTAATGTAAATTTGTAAAATTTTAATTGTGTTATAGAGTCGTATTTGCTGGTGCTTTTTGTTGAAAATGGGAAAAGTTACCATTTAAAAAAGTATCAGTATATCACAAAACTTACAAATGAAATTAAAATGTTTTGATAAATCACAATGAATTGCATACATGAACTACAGGGTTAAAAATTACATCTCTATTACATTTATGTACACACATATTGTCTGTCACCTTCTAGTATGCACCGGCTCAAATGGCCAGTTGAATGAAGAGTCCAGCAGTTTGGTTCTCTTGCAGTTAATGCCGCCGGAAAGATTATTACTCTGTGGAGGGAGACCTCTTAATGCAGAGCCGGAGGCAGGGGCATTGGAAATTACAGTGCTGAGGGTTAGTGAGATAGCCCCTGCGATCTTGATTATGTCCCCAACCCTTATCCCTTATGTCCACTGGCTACAAGCACAGAAAGAGAGAGAAAGAGAGAGAGAGAGAGAGAGAGAGAGAGAAGGCTCACCCAGTCCCCTGCTCCCATCTCCCCCATCAGCTGCCCCCGCAGCCTCCTGCTGGTCATTTAAAATAGCACCAGTATCGCAAAAACACTCATCTGTTTCATGTCTCACTGTCTTACTCATAGCCGGTGTTGTGTTGAATATTGTCCCATAAGCCTTTCAAATGGATTGTGTGCCAAGGTAATCATTTGACTGGACCCCTGCTTAGATTATAGGAGCCCAAGATGTGGAGAGACGTCCTGTTTTCCAAAGTCGCTGACTGGCGTGTGCCTGCCGGGAGTATGTCTACATTCACAGCAAATTATCCCCTTTTGATATTTACATGCTTCAGCGAGGAAGCCGGACGCGACCGTGTAATAAGGATACGCGTGGCCCGCTTGCTGCCAGACAAAATCCACTTTGATACATGTCCAGCCGAGGGAAGGAAGTCAGCGTAGGTAATGTGTGCGGCACTGAGGAGAGACAGCTCCTCCTGATGGAGCTGCCCTTTGCGTCAGAAGAAAACACTGGCTTGTTTGCAGCTGCTTTGATGCCCTGCTTGACCCCTAGTAATGGGTTGAATTTGAAGCTCATTTAAAAATGTTGTTCTTTTTTTCACTTAATAATAGACTTTGCATATAGACAACATATGCCTCTGTGCTTCACATTGAACTCTCATGGAGTGTGTTAATAGTGCATTACTGGCTGAAATGAAAAAGGGTTTGTGTGTGTGTGTGTGTGTGTGTGTGTGTGGACAGATAGACAACCCAGGAAGCTGTTTGCAAAAAGCCGGACGGCGAGGCTTTTTGATGTCATTGCACTAAGACCATTAAATTTGATTGGGGGTCCAGGGGGGACGGATTCTGCTGAACGCTGTGCTTTGTAAATGAGAGGACAAAGTGTCACCGGGGCCTCATGAATATGAAATACCCGCGCCTGCATTTATTTGGATATCAGAAACACAGATGAATCTTGTCAGCGGCTAAACGAGCGTGGCATTTTTAATTTGGTTTAATTAAAAAAGAGAAAGAAATAAGTTATCAACAGAGGGTGAGTTTTTGTTATCTACTGAAAGTTGATGGGTTAGGTTTTGAACAAGTTGTATTCACAATTTTTGGACGGAATCAAAACAATTTCTCTTCATCTGAACAGTCCATAACTTTTATGTAGAGCTGAAATTTAGTGTACCATCAAAGATCGATGTTTCTTCAGCTCCAGTTTATTTTCAGGAGTTATTTTGAAGGAATGGTGACATAGATGCCAAGATATTTCCTCACATCAGATGCAGACTTCCATCTCTTCACCTCTATTTAGCTCCTCTATTGACTTTCCCCTCAGGGTGCAGTACTGTGGTTAGAGATTACTGACAACCCTCTTCATGCAGTCCAGCTCTCTCTTTTTCTCTCCGTATCTGTCTGTACTCTCTCTCTTTTGCTTCCACTCTCTCTCTCTCTCTCTTTCTCTCTGTGTCAACACTCAGCTGTAGAGCTAATAAGGTTGTGCAGTCTGCTGCCTCCCCCAGAAAATATTGTTCAGGAAAGCTACATCACACCCAAAGTTAACACATATTTTATAAGGGCAGATGGGAAGCCACTAAAGTTCTTGCCAACTGTCTGTACAAGACAAAAATGTGTACTGTTGAAATGATGAAACTTTGAGCATTTTTTGGTGAAACATTTATTCCCTGTTGATTGTCCTACATTCTTCTTTAGCTGCATGATAACCCTATTCATCATCAATCATTTGGCTTATTTTGATCCAATCTTTCTATATCCCTTATTATGCCTCTCTTATTTCCCTGATCCAACAAATGTCCATCTGAAAAATGCTGTGAAAGTTTGCCCTGTCCTTCTTGGGAGAGGAGCCATCCTCTGTCCTGTTGCGTTTTGCCAATTAAAGTGGGTTCCCACTGTTTGAGCAGCGGGTTGGCGGCTCCTGGCACTGCAGCCCCTGCCAGGCCGCACTGTGACTTCCGACCCCACACAGATGGGCCCGCAAGCAAATACTCTTGCACATGGCTGGATGCCGCCCCAGTCGGAGTGGCAGAGTGGACATGGAGGTCGGCCTACCGGCCACTGCGGGTCCTGGGGGTGGGCGGCGCTGACAGGGCCCAAATGCTAAGGTAGCAGGGGGTGCTTTCTGGGGAGCCCCTGGCCAGCGCCCCTCTCACAGCAGGAAGAGCTGCAGCCTCGCCTCTTGAATATTCATGGCCGCATGGCTATTGTGACAGGGCAGCTCTTATGAGGATGTAGCTAGAGAGGGAGGGGAGGAAGTGCCACACAGACATGGTCACACATGCACATACTCACACAAAAATGCACACTTCTAGCAGCCATACACAGGGGGTTTACTGTATTTTTCATAAATGATTCTGTCACTTGGCTACCAATCAAATTTTTTCAAATTTTGACACTTTTTTAAATCAGATCATCTGTAAAATGTTGTGGTCTGTTTTTTTGGGGGGGGGTTTCAGACATTCCAGTGATTCCAGACCTTGAAGAAGTGCAGGAAGAAGACCTCACCATGCAAGTTGCAGCTCCACCCAGGTACAGTAGTGAATGCCTTAAACTCTCAGAAATTCATCTACACACACACACACACACACACACACACACAGCATGCCCCAGTCCCATGTATGACAGTTAACCTCTGTCCGTGCACAGGACACTAGATCAGTAGCCTGCTCTGGTGACTTTGATGGTTACCTGTCCTCCACTCGTGCCAGTGTCTTGCTTTATCGGGCTGAAATGGAGAAATAACAGTTGGGTGTGATTTATGCAACTCTGTTACCAGGGTCCCGACTAACGGGGCCTTTTGATTTACAGGGCAGTGAGAGACACGCCGACATGTGTCGAATATGTAGCAAGGCTATGACAGCGGTGGAGGTTATTAGGCTGGGGCTTGCTCTCTGTGCGAGATAATATCCACATTGAACTCATTGCGGGGGCAATGTAGCGTGTAATGTGCAGTAAGTAGGACTGGCATGCACTGCTAGGCCCCGGCCACTTTGAGAGCCCCCCCACTTAATTCCAACCCACAGATAAGCAGCTGGGTTTCAATTTGAAGCGTTTACCACTTGGCAACCATCTCCTGCTCTCTGTGGTCTTTGCTTGAAGTCTTGAAGCTTCATTGTGCACAAACTTCAAACTTCTACAAAGCCACTTCTCAGTCTTGGTTTGCACAAAGTGTGAAAGCACTGCAGTCAGGCTGGCTACTATTTTTCTGTGAGGTGTTGTCCTGATTGAAATACATGTCTGTTAGTGTATTAGATGCTTATTCTGACTTGTTCCTACCCTGTTAGCGTCCAGGTGAACCGGGTAATGACCTACAGAGATCTGGACAATGAACTGAAGTATTACTCTGCGTTCCAGACCTTAGTAAGTCAAGGACATTTGTTTTTACATCTCTTTGATATTCCTACCTCTCTTCTCGTCAAGGTGGTCCATTTCATTTTGCAACCAACATCCCCTCTGTTTGTGCAAGCTAAGTGAATTTTACTGCGATCTTTCTTCAGGATGGCGAGATTGACTTGAAGCTCCTCACCAAGGTTTTAGCGCCAGAGCAGGAGGTGAAAGAGGTGAGTGAGTTTTTAGTAAATATAGCTTGTGAGCTCCCAGCGAATGCCTGTCCAGCTGTTTCTAGAGCACCAGGGGAGGTTGCCATTCTGTCTCCCAGGTAATCAAGATTTATGATGTGTACATTAACACCCTCTGCTCTCCTTCCCCATTCTCCTCTCTTTGCTCCCTCTGTTCCCTGTGCTCTCTTTCTTTGTATGTCTCCCTCTGCTTCTCCAATTCTTCTTTTCTCCCCCTCTTCCGTCTCTCCTTTGCTCTGCAGGATGATGTGCGCTGGAACTGGGATCATCTGTTTACAGAGGTGTCCTCAGAGCTGCTGATGGAATGGGATCAAGGAGAGAGTGAGGAGCAGGCCGTGTTGCCTGTAACATGAGAAGGAGGTTTGGACTGGGACTTTAAAGGGCTCCAGTGGGAACTGGGTGAATTACATAGAACGGCAAGTGACTTTGGCTATAGTGACTTTAATTACTGTTTGTTATTCAGAATGTATATTTTCTACAGTGTTTTATTGTATTTTCTAAATAAAGTTCACCGTGCAGTGAACAATCCAGTGTCTCACCCTGTCTTTGATCAGTTTTTTCGAATTTCACCCCTCTTTGTTTGTAAGTTTTTAACTTAAACAGCCAAAAGGCAAACTAAATTTGTTTGAAAAGCTCCTCTGAAAAAGCTGTCACAGATAAAAATGCCCTCCCTGTACTACCAGCATTATCAACACCCTCATACAAGTCCAAGGTTGATAATCAGCTAAGCTGAAATCCAGTTGATTGTCTTCAAATTAACATTCCTCATTAAAGCCTACAACCTTATTGTTATTGACTGTGCCATTGACTTTATCTTCCAGGTCTTCGATAGGAGCAACCCCTTCTTCACTATTATCTCAAATGCATTGAACAGAGTTCATATTGACACCTGGGGGATTAGCATACATTATACCTTTTACTGGATAAAGAGGAATGGATGTCTGGAAAAAGACAGCATTTGGCGTCAGTTGTGGGTTCTTTAAAGTGAAAGAACACAAATTCTTGATAACAACGTGATAACAATGAATACAGAGCGTAAAAAACAGGCCACAGGACAGGATATTGGACATTGGCTTTGACACACCAAAGTTGACATAATTTATCAAATGCATTGTATACCGTGGCTTCAACACGTGCTGGTCGCATGTATCAGCATTCAGTTTTGTCTTTGGTTCATGTGTGTGAATATAAATGCAGGCCTCCAAAGTCAGGCCAGGTCTATTAGGGAAACAGCTGTAACATTTACAGATTGTGATTAGGTTTATTTCTGCGGCAGAGAGCAGTCTCATGACATTTGGAGATGCACAGCAAAGTCCTCAAGGACACATAATCTATGCATCTAATGGCTCAATCACTGCCCATCACAAATAGATCCAGATTTTTTCATTTGGTGGGCCTTGAATCAACTTCATCAAGTGTAATACCTCAGGACAAAGCTATCACACGGGATATTTGTGCTCAGAATAATTGTGTGTGGCAGAATATTTGAGCTCAGTGCTCAAACGCAGTGAGAGATGTGTGTTTGTTTCCCTATCAGACATACAAACGCACACTTTTTTACCGCCTCCACAATTGGCTTATTTAGCCGGACTTAATGAATTCTGCCCATATGCCCTGAGCAGCTGCTATGTTGCCCCTTCCTCCCGCCCCCGCCGAGCTGCGAAGTGCCCATCCATGTAGAGACAACCTCTAGCTGTCTCTCTGGAGAAGGCTAAGCCTGCCACTCCTCTGCTGGCAGCCGGCCGGTGCTGTCTGAGGTGGACTGCGGATAGGCCGAGGACTCAGATTAGGGCCCAGTGATCACGGGTTGTGGTCGGCCTCAAATGATTGGCCCGAGCATCGGTGGATCAGAGAGGGGATTAGAGAAAGAGAGAGAGATCCAGAGACGCTGTTTGGCATGTGCTTGCATCCAGCTTCTCAAAGTGACCTCTCTCTACTGCCTCATTCTGCCCCTCTCTTCTCCTTTATTCTCTCCATGTGTCTCAGTGTATACGGTATATCCTGATGCTGTGGTGAGGCTCAGAGTGACCTCTCACTGTCTGGGTGCAGTGAATTCAATCACGTCAAAACAGCTACAATATATACATAGTGAAAAAGACGGTTGTGTTGTTAGAGAGCTCTTTGGTTATGGCGGTAGCTTTCAGATGAACATGGTGTCACTGGGAGGTGAGCTGAGTCTGAGGCCACGTTGCTGCGTATATCAGATCAGACGATATAGGCCTCACATGGGTTTAGGGTGTAATTTGTTTTCCCCTGACATTTTTCTATTAAAATAATGGAGCCATTACTGCTGTAAAAATCCACATGCCCCAATGCATGCTTCTGTAATCTAATATTTCACTCAAAATGTTCCAGTAATGACACGTTTTAAAATCATTTGATGCGATGGGACACATGCAACACTACAGCACACCAAATCTCTGAATTTATGTCAGAAAGTAAGTTTCTCGTGTGAATCTACACTGTTTATTTTTAAAGCAGGAGTTTGTTACTGAGTACCCACTGTAAAACCTCGGGGCCAGTATGGACCAGCTGATCAAAGGGAGTTCTCAGGCCATTGAGTTTAAATGGGTAATTTATCTGTGTTTTTATTGGGTCCCTTGGTGGAAATGACTTTTCATTTTGTGGCAAAGAAAACAAGCGCAAGGAAGTAATACAGTTTTAATAAAAATCGGACGAGGCCCCATTAATGTAATGTTTTTTCCTGCTCCTCGTCGACAGGCTTGTCTTAATGTATTTTGATATTGGGCGCTAATTGGAAGGATAGAATAGAGATAATATGCTTCCAGCTCTACCTAATATGCTGTGGTGTTGACAGAAGTTTATACATCTTATCTGGTCTCAATATCTGCCTTCCATATGGCCCAAAGGCAATATGCTGAGGTGTAATTAAAGAAAATGGGTAGATGTGGAGATAGCTGGGGCCCGATGCCGGGGCCCCGCAGACACAGAGTGAGGGGTGAGGACAGACACGCTAAAGCTGTAGGAATATTAGGACCAGTTCATTCCACCAGGGGCTGCGTGCCTGTCACAGGTTCGCTGTCACTGACCCGGCCATCGCTGCATCAGTCAGGTGCCATGAACCAGCCTTGAGAGGATTATTATCAGTTTAAAAGGCAAGAAAATGAAGACATTCCCCCTCTTTTTAAGCCTGGACAAGATCATGTTTTACGCATTCATTTATAGCATAACTAACTCAACTATATTCAAATGGAACTTATGCCCTTTGAAAAAAGCCTCAAAAAGCAGCAGCAGCATTGATTTGCCACAAAGACTCCATGATATTTCAAGTTTAAAGGAGAAATCCTCGCCACACAACTAAGGCAGTCAGATCAATATCATTTTTTGATCAAAAGGGGATTTGCTTTTGAAATAGCTAGATTAAACAGATGTTTTATTTTTCATTAGATATACTGCACCTTTAAAAACCCGCAGGGGGTTGTGGGAGAGGAGGGGGAATCGCTCCACAAAAGAGACAATGAAAGAGGTATTTTTTAAGACCTAAAGTTTGATGGGTTGGAAAGTATTTTCAGTTTTGTCAGTGCTATTTTCCCCTCTCTTCTTTAGTTAATATTCTATCGCTCGAAGTCTTTTTTTGTTTACCCCAGGTGGGCTCGGACATGAAATGGCTGGGACGGTGGCAGCTTGGAATGCCCCTGGGCATCTTACGGCCGTCATGTTGTCAAAGTACCCGGGAGGGGGAGCGAGAGGGCTTTTTTCAAGTATAAGCCGTGAGTTGAGGCGAAAAAAAGCTTCTGTTCTTTTTGTAACAGTGATATTGGCTGAATTCATTATTATTATTCCCCGCTTTCCCCTCATATGTTTTTAGTGCCGCTGAGGGTTGGACGGCGAGACAGGGGTTTGAACATGAAATACAGTCGGGCTCCACATTTGTCATGTATTTTATTATTTCCCTTCTTCACCTTTCAGTCCTGTACGCGAGGTCCTTCATTTTTCACATGACTGGTTTTCTTATCATTGTGGGCCCTCTCCGCTGGCCTATGAGTGACTTAAAGGCAATAAAACACAAAACATTCTGTAAAACACGGATGCCTCTCTGGTCGTGGAGGCCCAGCAATGCCTCTCCGGGAAATTATGATAATAACTCAGTGGCGGTTGGAGTGGCCAGGTCGCTTGTGTGGGGCTGGGGGCAATGGGACGGGGTTCACCAAGGTCCTATGAGCAGGGACGGGTCAAGGTGGTTTGTTGGGCCTCGCCACCCACCCCCCTCTGTCATAAACTCTTCCCATCATGCGGGATACCGTCCACAGCCAGGTATACAGCAGAACCTCTTTGTCTTGTAGCTACTGGCGATAAAGCAAGGGCTGATGGGACGGCGGTTGTGTTGGCCCCCTGGCAGTGGTGGGGTCAGCTGAGAAGCTTATCATGGCCAGCAGAGGAAAACGCCTGAGTCAACACAACTCCACAGTTTACCCTCTGAGGGTCACAAACACACACTTCTGCAACTGTAATTTGAACTTGGTAGTTTTTATTTTTTGTTACTTTTGAGGGGAAGACACAAGGCAGCGAGGGAACTGTGTCTGGTCAGGGGTTTTTTGGTGTCTAGATTTGTTGCTGGGTGGAGGGAGGGAGGGAGGGA